GGGGTGGTGTCCCCGTCCCACCTGGTTGTAGAGGGCGCAGATGTGCAGGGCGGTGTTTCCTGAGGCGTTCTGCGCCGTCATGTCCGCCCCGTAGAACAGGAGGTGCTCCAGGTGCTGCACGTGCCCGTAGCGACAAGCCTGCTCCGGAAAACACGGAAAAGCGGGAATCAGGGAGCGGCGGGAGCCAGAGGAACCTTCCCGGAAAAAATCCCCTGCTGGATTCAGCCAGGCTCGGAAAGGTGGAATTCGGCGGGAATGGGGGTGGATCCTCACGGCTCCACCTGGATACCCATGGGAGAAATCGGCTCCGGATCAACGGGAAAAGTTTGGATCATCCCGGATCCGGAGGCTCCTCCAGCTGGGGGGTGGCTTGGGATGAACTCAGTGTCCTGAATCTCTGGAAAATTGGGATGTTCTCCTCCAGGTTTGGTCCATCCCGGGATTCAGGGATCAGCCGAGGAGGATGGAGGCAGCAGGGAGGGTTGGATCCAAAAATCGGGATCGCAAGGACACATCCCTGGATTTTTTATCCCCAGCTGGGTGTTGTGGGAGATATTTCAATGGGATCCCATCCCTCCTTCTCCCAAAGGATTGGGAAGCACAAGGCTTGGGATTCCTGACTCCCCAGTCCAAGCGTTTCTCCAAATCCCCTTGGAGAAATGGGATTCCATGTGGAAAACAGGGATAGGCACAACTGGGATTTGGATCTGGGATCCCAAAGTGTTCTCTGCAAGGTTGGAAGGTTGGTTGGAAGGTCCCAACCAAGAGGAGAGGCCGGAAAATCTGGGATGGAGGCAGAGCTGGCCCCATCCAGATGTCAATCCCAGAGATGGGCCAACCCCATCCATGGACGACATTCCCAGAGTCCAGGCATGGAATGATCCCATCCACGAGCACCAGGAGAACATTCCCAGAGTTCAGCCTTCAATCCTATCCATGGACAGCATTCCCAGAGTCCAGCCCTCAGCTGCAGGCATGGAGGGATCCCATCCATGGGCACCAGGAGAACATTCCCACGGCTGAATCCCATCCCTGCGGATCCCATCCCACACCTGCTGGATCTCCATCCATGAGCACCAGGAGAACATTCCCAGAGCCCAACCCTAAAGCTCAGGTGTGGAATGGCCCCATCCATGGACAGCATTCCCATGGCCAGATCCCATCCCTGTGGATCTTGCACCACCTGGTAGATCTCCATCCATGGGCACGAGGAGAGAATTCCCAGAATCCAGCCCTCAATCCCAGGGATGGAACCAGCCCATCCATGAGCACCAGGAGGACATTCCCAGAATCCAGCCCTCAATCCCAGGGATGGAACCAGCCCATCCACGAGCACCAGGAGGACATTCCTGTGTCCAGATCCCATCCCAGAAGATCCCACCACACGTGGTGGATCTCCATCCATGGGCACCAGGACACCATTCCCAGAATCCAGCCCTCAATCCCGGGGATGGAACCACCCCATCCACGAGCACCAGGAGGACATTCCCATGTCCGGATCCCGTTCCCGCGGATCCCGTCCCACCTGGTGGATCTCCATCCACGAGCACCAGGGGAACATTCCCAGAATCCAGCCCTCAATCCCAGGGATGGAACCAGCCCATCCACGAGCACCAGGACACCATTCCCAGAATCCAGCCCTCAATCCCAGGGATGGAACCACCCCATCCACAAGCACCAGGAGGACATTCCCATGTCCAGATCCCATCCCTGAAGATCCCGTCCCACCTGGTGGATCTCCATCCGTGATCACCAGGACACCATTCCCAGAATCCAGCCCTCAATCCCAGGGATGGAACCAGCCCATCCACGAGCACCAGGAGGACATTCCCAGAATCCAGCCCTCAATCCCAGGGATGGAACCAGCCCATCCACAAGCACCAGGAGGACATTCCTGTGTCCAGATCCCATTCCTGTAGATCCTGCCACATGTGGCAGATCTCCATCCATGGACAGAAGAACACCATTCCCAGAATCCAGCCCTCAATCCCGGGGATGGAACCACCCCATCCACGAGCACCAGGAGGACATTCCTTTGTCCAGATCCCTTTCCTGTAGATCCTGCCACATGTGGTGGATCTCTATCCATGGACAGAAGAACACCATTCCCACAGTCCAGCCCTCTATCCCGGGGATGGAACCACCCCATCCATGAGCACCAGGAGGACATTCCCAGAATCCAGCCCTCAATCCCAGGGATGGAACCACCCCATCCACGAGCACCAGGAGGACATTCCCATGTCCGGATCCTGTTCCCATGGATCCCATCCCACCCGGTGGATCTCCATCCGTGATCACCAGGAGAACATTCCCAGAATCCAGCCCTCAATCCCAGGGATGGAACCACCCCATCCACAAGCACCAGGAGGACATTCCTGTGTCCAGATCCCATTCCTGTAGATCCCGTCCCACCTGGTGGATCTCCATCCGTGATCACCAGGACACCATTCCCAGAATCCAGCCCTCTATCCCGGGGATGGAATCAGCCCATCCACGAGCACCAGGAGGGCATTCCCAGAATCCAGCCCTCAATCCCGGGGATGGAACCACCCCATCCGTGATCACCAGGACACCATTCCCAGAATCCAGTTCTCAATCCCGGGGATGGAACCACCCCATCCAGGAGCACCAGGACACCATTCCCAGAATCCAGCCCTCAATCCCAGGGATGGAACCACCCCATCCAGGAGCACCAGGAGGCCATTCCCATGTCCGGATGGCGTTCCCGCGGGTCCCGTCCCACCTGGTGGATCTCCTGCCAGCCGTTCTCGTCCACGCAGCCCAGGCGGGCGTGGTCGTGCAGCAGCAGCTCGCAGCAGTAGGGGTCCCCGCCCACCATGGCGCTGTGGTACAGCGGGGTCAGCCCCCGGCTGTCCTTGTAGTCCGGGGACGCTCCCAGATCCAGCAGCGTCTGCCCGGGAAACAGGGAGCGCTCCCGTGGGAATGGGGAATGGTCCCGTGGGAATGGGGAAGGGTCCCCTTGGAATGGGGAATGGTCCCGTGGGAATGGGAATGGTCCCTTTGGAGCAGGAAACAGTCCCATGGGAATGGGGAACTCTCCCGTGGGAATGGGGAACGGTACCATGGGAATGGGAATGGTCCCTTTGGAGCGGGAAACAGTCCCATGGGAATGGGGAAAGGTCCCCTTGGAATGGGGAATGGTCCCATGGGAATGGGAATGGTCCCTTTGGAGCAGGAAACAGTCCCATGGGAATGGGGAAAGGTCCCCTTGGAATGGGGAATGGTACCATGGGAATGGGGAAAGGTCCCATGGGAATGGGGAATGGTCCCCTTGGAATGGGGAATGGTCCCATGGGAATGGGGAACGGTCCCGTGGGAATGGGGAACAGTACCATGGGAATGGGAAATGGTCCCATGGGAATGGGGAACGGTCCCCTTGGAATGGGGAACGGTCCCGTGGGAATGGGGAATGGTCCCCTTGGAATGGGGAATGGTACCATGGGAATGGGGAACGGTCCCATGGGAATGGGAACGGTCCCGTGGGAACAGGGAATGGTCCTTTGGGAATGGGGGACAAGGTTGGGAACAAGGGACAGTCCCTTGGGAATGGGGAACTGTCCTTTAGGACAGGGCTGGGAATGGGCAACTGTCCCATGGGAATGGGGAATGTTCCCATGAGAATGAGGAACTGTCCCTTGGGAATTGGAAGAGTCCCTTGGGAATGGGAATGGTCCCTTGGGAATGAGAAGAGTCCCTTGGGAATGGGAATGGCCCCTTGGGAACAGGGAATGGCACCTTGGGAATGGGAACGGTCCCTTGGGAAGGGCTGGGATGAGGGAATCACCTCATGTCCATGCGGGAATCATTTGGGGAGAGGGCTAGAGGGAATGGGGGGAGGGAAAATCTGGGAAGGGAAGGGAGGGGAAGGGAAGGGAAGGGAAGGGAAGGGAAGGGGAGATGGAAAATCCCGGCACTGACCATCAGGGCCGCGTGATTCCGACACCTCACGGCTTTGTGCAGCGCCGTCATTCCCTCGCGGGTCCGGAAATCCAGGTGGGCTCCGCCGTTCCGGAGCGATTTGATCATCTCGGAGCTGAGCTCGAGCTGTGCCGCCGCCGTCAGCGGGCACTCTGGGAGGACACGGGAATGCGGGAAATCCATGGAATGGCCAGCACATCCACGGGAATCTCTCCCCGTGGGATCCCAGCGGGAAGCGCCCACAGAGATCTCCTCGGGGTTTGGGATCGGATCCGTGGGAATGGAGGCCAAATTTGGGAACTGTTTGCTCCTGGAGATTCCCAAGGTTCTCCTGAGCAGCGGGAATGGGAATTGGATGGAAAATTCTGGGATTAGGTGGAAAAGCGCCCAAAATATCTTGGGAATGGGGTCTGGGAAACCATGGATTCTCCTGGGTCCTTGGGAATTCCCAGATCCAGTGCTGCCAATGGAAAAATCCTCATCCCGGGATCAGGGGTGGATTCCAATCAGGAGAAGCCACTGGATGCTCCCAACTTTCCTCGAGGTTGCTGCTCCAAATCCCACAAATCCTGCTGGGAATCCCAAGAATTCCAGGATTCCCTCTTTCTCTTGGGATGCAGATGGGATTCCCAGAGGAGAGTGGGAATTATAACGTTTAAGGAATGTCACGGGATCGGGTCTGGAAACTCCATGGATACAAAAGGGAAAGGAAAAGCTGGAATTCTGCATCCATGGCCAGTTTGTCCCATCAGGAAATCATGGAAAAGACGCTGGAATTGATGAGGGAATTAAGGAATGCTCGGGATCCAGAGTGGGAAAGAAGCAACAGGAGAGAGTTTTGCACATTCCATGGGGAAGTTCTGGATCCTTGGGATAAGGAAGGGATGGAGCGCGGCCAGGGAAGGGAATGGAGCTGGGAAGGGGCTGGAAAACTCCAGAGGGGTTTGGGATTTGGGCTGGAAAACTCCAGAGGGGTTTGGGATTTGGGCTGGAAAACTCCAGAGGGGTTTGGGAAAAGACTGGAAAACTCCAGAGGGGTTTGGGATTTGGGCTGGAAAACTCCAGAGGGGTTTGGGATTTGGGCTGGAAAACTCCAGAGGGGTTTGGGATTTGGGCTGGAAAACTCCAGAGAGGTTTGGGATTTGGGCTCAGCCTGGAGTAGAGGAGGCTCCAGGGGATCCTCGGGATGGGCTGGGAGGTCCATTCCCCACCAGGATTGGGGAATTGTGGGATCCTTGCCCATGGAATGCCGGCGGTGCCTCGGGAAGGGCCCCGAGCCCCCCCGGGCTGGGCAGGGGCTGCCGGGATCCGTGCAGGGAGAGCCCGGGAAAATGGGATCTGCCCCGGGAAAAGTGGGATCTGCCCCGGGAAAAGTGGGATCTGCCCTGGGAAAAGTGGGATCCGCCCCAGGAAAAGTGGGATCTGCCCCAGGAAAAGTGGGATCTGTCCTGGGAAAAGTGGGATCTGTCCCGGGAAAAGTGGGATCCGCCCCGGGAAAAGTGGGATCTGCCCCGGGAAAAGTGGGATCTGCCCCGGGATCGGGGCGGCTCTGCCGGCATCGGGGCAGGATCGGGAATGTCCTCCTGGCTCTGCCCAGCTCCTGCCAGGAGCCAGCGGGGATCGGGATCTGCTCCAGGGAATGAGCCCCGGGAAAAGAGGGAGCGGCCTCAGCCCGGCCAGGGCAGGCTGGGATTGGAGATTTGGGATCATTTTCCATGGAAAAGGGGCCAGGGCCTGGCAGGGGCTGCCCAGGGAGCTTTGGAGTGCCCATCCCTGGAGGCGCCCGAGGAATTCCCGGAATTCCACTCAGGGCTGGGATCGGGCCCAGCTGGGACTCGGTGACCTTGGAATTCTTTCCCAGCCTAAAGAATTCCATGATTTGGGGAAGGGACATTCCAAGGTCATCTCATCTCTATGTATGCGATCATTCCCATCCCATTCCAATCCCGCCATCCCAGGCTGCTCCAGCCTTTCCTGGGACATTGCAGGGATCCAGGGGCAGCCCCAGCTGCTCTGGCAATCCCAGCCCAGCCAGGAATTCCTCATTCCCAATCTCCCATCCCTGGCTGCCCTCTGGCAGTGGGAGGCATTCCCTGGGTCCTGTCCCTCCATCCTTGTCCCCAGTCCCTCTGCAGCTCTCCTGGAGCCCCTTCAGGCCCTGGAATGTGCTGGAAGCTCTCCCTGGATCCTTCCCTTCTCCAGGGGAACATTCCCAAATTTCCCAGCCTGCCTCCGTGTCCTTTTCCCTCCCCCATTCCTGACTCCCGCAGGAATTTTCCCCCACATTATTTCAGGAATTTTGAATCCTCCTTTGTAATTCCAACGTTTTCCTGGGCTCCTCTCCCTCTCCCGCTGTCCCTCGTTAAATATCCCTCGTTAAATATCCAAGGATTTTTTTTTTCCTCTTTTCTCCGGCAAAACCATCCCTGGGGTTTGGCTTTCATTCCAGAACAACGGAAACTTCTCCCGGATCCGGTGTTTTTGTCATTCCCACTTTTTCAATGTCCCCACAGGTAGCAACTGTGAATTTTTTGGGCTTTTTCATCCCTTTCAAATCCCAGGAATCTTTCCCGGAATATCTTCCCAGCAACCCCGAAATGGGAACGGCAGCAAGCGGGGCTGGAATTGCTTCCCAATGTGATTTTCCCCCTGTTTTTCCACCCAATGAGGGCCAGGAAAATGGGAATAAAACCTCGGCACAGCTTAAAACCTTTCCCAAATTCCACTGAAATGAAGATTCCCAAAGTTTGGAATCCATGGAGTCCCAGGAAGCTCAGAGGATTTTATGGCTCATCCCAGTTATTCCCAGTCCATTTATGGGATTGAATCCTGCAGGAAACCATTTTTCCAAGCAGGATTTTCCAGTTTTCCATGGGGAGATTCTCACGGGATTCCCCAGGGATCCAATCCCAAATCCCAAAAATTCCAACAGGAAAAGTGCTGGCTCGTTCCTGGCTCATTCCTGACCCGCTCTTCCAACACCCAGCCCAGACTTCCTGAGAAACCCACTGGAAGCCAACCAACATTCCCAAAAAACTCCAAAGCTCCCAATCCAGGAATTTCTGAGAGATTTCGATCCCTTCATCCAACTGCAGCCGGGAAAGGCCGGGATGGGAAACGGGAACAGAAAGGGAAAATATTCCAAGAGGAGAAACGTGGATTGTATCCCGCTGAACCCCAGAAGGGACTGGGGAATCCCTAAGGAATTCCCAAAATCCTCTGAAAAGTGGGAATTGTGCCATAAAACCCCCCCAAAAAATGACTGGGATAGAGCAGGAAGAAATTCCAGAGGAAAGCCTGGAGGAATTCTGGGAAGGAATTGGGAATGTTGCGCTGATTCCTTCCTGGAAGTGCTCCCAAATCCAGAGGAAAACGTGGAACTGACCTCCGGTGTCGGGATCGTGGAAGTTGGGATCCAGCCCCTTTTCCAGCAGCCGGCAAACCTTCTCCAAGTTCAGCATCTGCACGTATTCCATGAATTTCTTCAGATTTGCCTGGATTCGGGAAAAACCGCCGCGTTAACATCCCGAAATTCCGGGGAAAGCCACTGAGGGAGCATCCCCATCCCGAAAACCTAAGGAAAATCGGGATAACGGGACTGAATTCCATCAGGATGGGACACACATGCACGTGGAAATGTCGGGAACTGATGGGAAAGGTTGGGAAGAGCTCCAAGGAAACGGAGAAGGTGAAGCCGGATTTCGCATCCAAGGAAAAAATTCCAATTCCAACATTTCCCACCTTAATTATATGGGAAATACGGGAAATACGAGAAATATGGGAAAACGATCCCTTTTAGGAGGCATGAATCCCAAAAATGCCGCGTTTCCATTTGTTTTCCGGTTGGAAAATTGGGGAAAAAACCTCGTAAGTGCCAAGCAGGGGGAGGAAAAGGTTTGGAAAGGAATTTGGGAATTCCAGAATGGTTTGGGCTGGATGGGAGCTGAAATCCCATCCCATTCCAAGGCCATGGAGTCCTCCCACTATCCCAGGTTATTCCAACAATTCCAGGGATGAGGCAGCTGAAGATTCCTCGGAACTGCTGGATCATCCCATGGGAATTGAGGCTGCCAGTGCCTCGCCTCTATCCCAAATTTCAGGATTGGAATTTTGTTCCCCCGAGCCAGAATTTCTAATGATTCACCTCAAATTCCCACATTTTGGGTATTTTCCCCTTTTTTTTTTTTCTGGCTGGATGAAGCCATTATTAAATTCCTGGATTTTGGGAATGGCAGAGGCAGGAATGGCTCTGGTGGGAAAATCCCAGCTCCCACATTCCCACATTTTCACTGGAGAGATTTTTTTGGCAGTTTATTTCAATCCCACCGAGCAAAATCTGGGAAAAATCCTGGAAAATCCCAAGAGCTGGAATTGAGGCCAGCCGTGCCCTTGGAGCCGGGAGAGGCCGGAGCAAATCCATGGATCCGCCTCCCGCTGCCAGGCAGCAGCAAATGGATTCATCGATCCCTCAGAAACAGGGAATTATGGATTTGCTGCCGCGCCGGGACAACGCGGAGCCTCTGGAATTGCACAATTCCTCCCAGCGGGAATCTCCAGAGCCATGGCACCGGGAATCCTGGAATGGTTTGAGTGGGAAGGGACCTCCAATCCCATCCCAATCCCATCCCAATCTCATCCCATTCCAAGGGCAGGGACTCCAGGAAGGGTCTCCCTTCCCTTTTCCATCCCCAACTTCCATAAAAATCCCTCGGGATGGATTCTGGGCCTCCTTGATCCCAGAATCCCGGAATGGTTTGGGTGGGAAGGGACCTCCAATCCCATCCCATTCCAATCCCACCATCCCAGGCTGCTCCAGCCTTTCCTTGGACATTCCAGGGATCCAGGGGCAGCCCCAGCTGCTCTGGCAATCCCAGCCCAGCCAGGAATTCCTCATTCCCAAAATCCCACCCCAAGCTGCCTTTCCCAGGGAATCCCATCCCTTTGAATCCCAGAAAATCCAACATTTCCCTGCCCAAGGGAGCAGACGGAGCCACAAATCCCGGGAGAGCCCCACCCTGGGACACAGAGGCAGCGCCTCTACTTTTCCAAGGAAAACCTCAATGCTGAACACATGGAAGAGCAGGAATTCCCAGGAACTGAAGCAGGAATTCCTAAAAACTGAAGCAGGAATTCCTAAAAACTGAAGCAGGAATTCCTAAAAACTGAAGCAGGAATTCCTAAAAACGGAAGGAGAAACTCCCAGAAACTGAAGAGGAAATTCCCAGAAGCGGAAGCAGAAATTCCCTGGATTTGAAGGAGAAACCCCCACAGGAGCTGAGGCGGGAATTCCCAGAAACTGAAGCAGAAATTCCCAGGAACCAAAACAGAAATTCCCAGGATTTGAAGCAGAGACCCCACAGAAACCACAGCAGGAATTCCCCGGGAATTGGAGCAGGAATTCCCCCAAAACCAGGAATTCCCAGAAACCAAAGCAGGATTTCCGCAGGAATTGAAGGAGGAATTCCCAGGATTTGAAGCAGAAGTTCCCAGAAACCGAAACGAGAATTCCACAGGAACTGAAACCGGAATTCCCCAGCTCCCAGACCTTACGGAATCTCCGTGCTGAATTCCCCCACGGAATCTCCGTGCTGAATTCCAGCGGTTCCCTGGATGAGCCCTTTCTGGGAATGATCCCTGCCCGTTATCCCGACGTTCCGCAGCTCCGGTACCGTTCCCGAGGCTCTCCAGGTGTCCCGGTGTCCCCGTGCCAGCCAGGATCCCATCCCTGCTCCCGCTCCCTCTGGATCCAGCTCCCATTCCAGCCTTTTTTCCCGGGAGCTGCTCCAATCCCAGCTTTTCCCGGGAAAGGTCGATCCGTGCTCGCTGCGCCGGCAGCACTCCAGCGGGCACGGAATGAGGATGGATTGGCTGGAATTGTCCCTTTGGATCCTAGCCGGCATTCCCAAATATCCATGGGAAAGGAAAAGGATCAAGGAAAGGCTCCTTCCCAAAATCCCACAGGTGCTGGGAAAGCAGCAGCGCGAGGGAAA